GCAGCGCAGAGTAACGCGTCGTGTGTGTGTGTGTGAGGGGAACAGGGTCACATCACAGGAGAGTGAACTGAAAAAAATTCTGATGTCTGTCAGAATCACAGTGGAGTCAGCTGTCTTAACCGTGGCTTGTGTACTGCAAACACATACCAGCTTCATCACTGTGTCTGTTACGCGACTCTGTTCCCCTTTCAGGCTCTGTCTTTACATTTATTTTGAAAGATGAAGCTCGCGATTATGGTAAGTGGTGTTACATTTCCGACGAGTGCTTGCGGTGTTCGGCCAATCACAATGCACTGGGTCAGCTGGCCAATCAGAGCAGACTGCGCTTGTCGGAAGGAGGGACTTTGTAGAAAACGAAGCGTTTGAGAGAGGCGGGGCATAGAGGACCTACAATAATGTACAGTATTTGAAAAATAATGTGTTTTTTGAACATTAAAGCATGTCAACATATTCTGTTACACCAAATACACAAAATAATGATCTTTAAAAAAAGCATCATATGACCCCTTTAAAGTATAGGCCTGTCCTATGTATAATTAGATTAGGCTACTTCTTTCAATAGGTTAGCTATGTTTATATGATTATGTGTGTATTATATACTATAGCCTATATGTAGCACCCTGGTCCTGTAAGGAATGACATTTTGATCCTTTGTCAACCAAAGTCACTTTGTGCAACAGGGAAAAAATCAACTAGAATAACTCTACCTGACACTGAAAACCAAGTAATGGTCACAATTTATAAACAAAAATGATACTGACCGACCGATATGACTGACAAGACAAAATAACAGCAGCATGATTCAAGTGTCTGAACCTGATGAGAATACAGAAGAGCTGTTATGTGACATACAAACACACATCACAAAGAGATTTATACAGTGATAAAACACTTCCTGAGTGGTAAAATAGGCTACTATATATCTAACCACAATACACCCGACTTAATACTTTCAATGTTAGTTTTTATTAAAGATTGAATGCGTGGACTTCTAATGATACAAAAAAAATTAAAATTCCAATAAGAAATATCACACTGTAAGCTTAGTCTTTGGTGTAATCACAAAAAATCAAAATGACCCAAAGGCCCAATGGACAAAAAGAGAAAGCTTTTGAAATTAATGTTCCTGCTACAAACCGATCCTGTCGTCGGAGTATGTAGAACAATGTAGGCCTATTAATTATTAATAAAAACCATGATCATAATCTTCATCATCATCGTAACCACAGCACCGGAGACATCAGCACTGACACGGTGTCTTATCACTTTACTTCACTCATTTCATTTAGGGTTTAGTTTTCCCACAAACAGAAACACAGCTATTGGTAATAGCACACAAAATACACAAGCCTTATACAGGTGCATCTCAATAAATTAGAATGTCGTGGAAAAGTTCATTTATTTCATCGATTCAACTCAAATTGTGAAACTCGTGTATTAAATAAATTAAATGCACACAGACTGAAGTAGTTTAAGTCTTTGGTTCTTTTAATTGTGATGATTTTGGCTCATTTAAAGGTTCTACATGTTCTGGCGACAAAACATCGTAAATTACTAAGTGTAAAAGGTGGCTGCGTTCCACTTTGCTTTTTGAAGCTTATGAAGGATAATGAACAGTGTTGCCAACTAATTTTCAGGGGAAGTTGCTAAAGGAAAGTCGATTTGTTGCTAAAAGTTGCTAAATGACGTTGTGATGTCATTGCGTGATGACGTCAATTATTATTATTATTATTATTATTATTATTATTATTATTATTATTATCAAATTGAACAATTGCAAATAGCAGTAACTTAATTCAAGTGATGTGTGTACTGCTAGGCATCTTTGGTTTCCTCTTTTTGTGAAATTTAGATGGAAAATGTGTGCCTTTTTATTGTTTGAGCCACTTATCAAAAGTTGCTAAAAGTAGCCAAATAACATTTTAAAATAGCTAAATTTGTTGCTAGGTGCTTTTGGAAGAAAAAGTTGCTAGGGTAGTCTGAAAAGTTGCTAAATTTAGCAACAAAATTGCTAAATTGGCAACACTGATAATGAAGCTCCGTGCCGGAACGCGTGTACTGTTCAATTTGAAGCGGCGCTGTGCTGACTGATGAGTGCATGACATCAAAGTACCGCGAGAGCGATTTAAAAGCATGCAGCTCTTTATTGCTCTCGCGGTACTTTGATGTCATACAGTACATCTATCGGGCTGCGCAGCGCTGCTTCAAGTCGAACACACACACCTTTTCTTTCCAATCACGTGAATTCTTAGCTTTATGTGTTTGAGTCCAGACCACTAGGCTACATTATGGAATCCTGCAGAGCAACAATATTATTGTTGTCTTTGATGTTATTACATTGAATTTATTGCCACACTTTAATATGTGAATTGTATTACTGGCAAACTGAACAAATATTTCTGCTTTTAATGGATTAAACAACGGAGCTGCGCACTCAGGTTTAAGGCTGTTATAAATTTGACCTACCACAAGATGCCATTGTCTTTCCCGAAACAATCAGAGAAAAGCTTCAAAGATTTAAGAGGCTTCATTTCTCCATCCCTAACACCTACCACCACCATCACGTGATCCAGGAGCTGTCACAGTTGTTTCTCGTTGATCACGTGTTTCTCTGAAAACAATACGTGCTGTGCTTCAGTGTCATGTGTAACATCATTAATAGGCCTAGGTCTGTACGGCTGCATGCAGCTGGATTTCAGTCGATCGCTAACATTTGTCGCTTAAGCCAAGTTCACACTACACAGCAGACAACATCTCTGTCACCCATCGACTCTATCTGGTCCCCAAAACACGCTATTGTCATGAAAACACACATGAGAAGTGGAACGGGAATGACACGAAACACGTGAAACAGGAGTTGTTTATTTGAAAATGGACGTTGGGAAGAAATTAGCACTGCGCGATGATCTGTCCTGAAAAATTTCGCTCCATTTATTGTGTCTAAACTTTTCTTAAAGGGATAGTTCACCCAATAATGAAAATTTGATGTTTATCTGCTTACCCCCAGGGCATCCAAGATGTAGGTGACTTTGTTTCTTCAGTAGAATACATGATGATTTTTAACTTTAACCGTTGCAGTCTATCAGTCATATAATGCATGGCAATGGTAACAAAATCTATGAGAGTAAAAAAAACATGCACAGACAAATCCAAATTAAACCCTGCGGCTCGTGACGACACATTGATGTCCTAAGACACGAAACGATCGGTTTGTGCCAGAAACCGAACAGTATTTATATCATTTTTTACCTCTAATACACCACTATGTCACTTTGAACAACAAACGAGTCGTCTCGGGGAGTGATTAGTTCAGTCACGCATGCGCAACATTCGATAGGCTCTGTGCTGGAATTAGTTCACCTGTTTCGAGTCTTCGGGTTTTTAGAGTCGTTCGCTCTTCATGTGACAGCCCCATAAGCTTAACCTATGCAGTCTGAGTCGTTCTACTCGAAAAACCCGAAGACTCGAAACCAATCAATTCTCTTTCCAGCTCAGACTGCATAGGTTAAGCTTATGGGGCTGTCACGTGATGAGGTGAGCTAATCATAGACTGAAGACCCAGGTAAACAATGAATTAATCTTTTCTGTTTCTTATAGCATTATATTTTTGTCTTGTTTGTAGTGTGATCAACGTTTGCGTAAGTAGTAGATGTAATAGGGAGGTAACATATAACATTTTAATTATATTTTGCTAAAATGAACGAAATGACTCGAAAAAAAGATTTGTTCATTTTGCTGAACGAGACTAAAAGGTCAGAGTCTTTAAAATGATCCGAAATTCCCATCACTAATTAGATGCAATATTTGTCATGTAGAAAGCCTCCTGAGTCGCGACTGCAAACGGCACATCTATCCGAGCATTTGTTGAAACTACGCTGCAAAAAACAGTTGCTAACCTCACAAACCAATGTCTAGTTGCATAAACGCAGCCACTATGTTAAGACGGTGTTCTGACCAACTAACAGTTAGCCAAGGTGTATTGACTTAAAAAGTGTAACGATCAGTCTTGTAGAAAAAAATGAGACGACCAACTTTAGTATAAGTACTTTGCAACCTTCCACTGTCACATTGTCATATGTACCCACACTTGCATATTTTTAATGATCAGAAACTTAACTTTCACACTAATCAGGAGGACTAATAATAAGAGAGAAGTCCATCAAACATTGTGCTTCTTCTGGCTGTCTGGTTCCACATATGACTGCATGGTGTTTAGAGCGGCCAACGTTTATTTTGAACAAGATCTCTGATGATTTCAGTCTGAAATGAAGTGCTGTTTGAGAAGAACATTGTGTCCGATGCTGTGATGATTTTAAGGAAGTACACTGAATCCACTGGGGTCAGTTTGACCTGCACAGTAAAGATTGCACAGATTTTTTATTTTTATTGTTTAACATAATACAAAGGTTAAATCTAAACACACTATTAATCCACAGAAAAAGCACACTATTAATCAATTTAAATAAATAAATAAATAAATATGCCAGAAATGTTTATTTGTAAACAGCTCTCACTCGCTGTGGAGGAGCACTGATGCACCTGAGCAAAGTGAACTCACGGAGCACTGAATATTGTTTGTAAATACTTTCCAGCATTTCAGTAATAAAAAAATGTACATCTTTAAAATGCATGCAAATCACAGCGAAGTGCAACAGTTCCCGTACGGTGTTCAGCAGTGGTCAAAACGAATTTAAACAGTGCATTTTGAATTGATCCCTTCTTGTAAACTCAGAGATGTGGATTCGGACAGCAGTGAAATTACCACATGACCTTTTTGTTTGTTAAAAAAAAACAGCAGGCTATTTGGTCAGGGAATTGTTATACAAGTGGTGGGAGAAAAACACTGACATTCTAGATTCGGACGGCAATAAAATCACTGTCTAACCCCTGTAAACTGAAAAAAAAAATTACATCCCCATGAGAACTAATTACTGTTCAGATAGGGCGTAGTACTCATAAAACAGCAGACAAAAAGTACCTGGATGACCTACTACTTTCGGGATCATAGCTCACATGACAATATGACAGCTGTAGCACATCTAGATTAAATTCATGCCATATAGAACATATACTGTTTAACAGTCATGACGATAGTTCTTCATCAAACGTAGTACCTACTCAGACCTCCATCCAGACATTGGTGCATCCTTGTTCTTTTAAAAGAGGCAGAGCCACCAAAGAACCACCCAAAAACACACAGGCTGCCTGGCTGGTCCAATCCAGTGATCTACAGAGGGAAGGGAGACACATTTTATTGTTTCAAGCTCACTGTTTAAAGATTTAGTAAAGCTCTCAGTGCCTCCTGTTTTACTTACTGTTTTGTATAGCGTCACTCTTGGGTCCGTTCGTTGGTCCTGGAGTTTCTGGACATTCTGGAGATCCTGGAGATTCTGTACAAGATAATAAAAGGTTAGGTAGTTCAAAGTGAATAAGAATAACGCTTTAAATATAATATTTCCATATACCCCGAGCAGAGGCGGACAGTAACTAAGTACATCTACTTGAGTATTGTACTTAAGTACACTTTTTGAGTATCGGTACTTTACTCGAGTATTAGTTTTTCTGGGAACTTATGACTTTAACTTCACTACATTTGAAATACAAATATTGTACTTTTCACTCCACTACATTTCTATCAAGGTCCTCGAAGTAGTAAGTCGTTACTATGTATCAGCTTTGAAAGTCGGTGGGTGATTTTTTTCTTCTCTAAAACTTGACTTTCTTTTTTTTCAGACAGTTGATTTCCCAGCATTTTTTTGAACACTGACCAGCTGCAAATGTGATATTTATTTAAAACAATTCAATAATAAGAAGTTAATATTGTGGTATATATTAGACACAATATTGTCTGATTTTTGTAATCTTGATAACAACATTTTGAGCAGTTATATACCAATATCAAATCTTCCTTTTATAGGCAAGATTATTGAATGAGCACTGTGCGATGTCTGAACTGATTGCACTGTATTTTGTTTATTATCATTTTCTATTTTTAACTCTTAAATTCATTTTAGAATTTTTGTTTTGATGTCAAATAAGTCTTTCTGTTTTGCTTTTTTGTTAAAGCAGTGTTTCTGTTTATTATACAGCTACAGTTGTGTTGCTGGGTTTTAAAGCAGGTTTGATTTTGTTTCTTCCTTATCACTCTGTATTTACAGGATTTCACTGTCCACTCTGTTCAAATGTGGTTGAATGGCTACACATAGATCTGTGCACGCACTGTCAGAGCTGTGTGAGATCACTACCATCCTGCTTTTGTGGAAGTGTTCAATATTTATTTATTTTTGTTTTGTTCTGTTTCCCCATAGGTTTTTAACATTCTAAAAGCTCTTTATTCCAAAGATACTACAAGCTAGTCAGTGTATTCAGTAGGTGTAATGTATTCTAAGTTGCTTCAGAAGTATTGCAAGTATTACGTACAACAATAAAACAGTGCATTGACATAAAAAAGGAAATTTACTTTTGCTACTTAAGTACTTTTAAAAGCAAGTACTTCTGTACTTTTACTTAAGTAAAAATCTGTCTTTACAACTTTTACTTGTAATGGAGTAATATTTGACCAGCAGTATCTGTACTTTCACTCAAGTAATGGAGTTGAGTACTTTGTCCGCCTCTGGCCCCGAGTTTCTCTCACCTTCAACAGTCACTATGATCAAGAGTTCTCCTTCAGAGCCCAAAACTCTGTAAGTTCCTGCATCACTGGCTGTAAAGTTATTGATGATCAGGTTTCCATCTCTGTCATTCAGCTGGTCATTTTGAACACCATGGCCTCTCTTCCAGACATCCTTCCACTCTGTGCTGCTTCTTCTCTGATGCTGCACTTTATCAGCATTAGACAACAGAACATCTAACTTCAGCTTCTCACTGATTTTCACAGAAAACTCATCTGAAGAGAGACAGAAAGACATTATTATTATTGTCTCAATCGATCAAGGCCATAAGCACATATTTATATTTATGGAACCAGATGCAATCATGACTCTGACTGTTACAGTCCAGCATGCATGCCACATAATTACTATAGGAAATCCAGAAAGCTAATGCTGATGGTTTGATCAGTTTTGACTTTACCATAAATATAAAGTTGGTACTCCAGCTCTGTCAGAGCATTTTTGTAATCGAATCTAAAAATGTATTTCCCAGCGTCACTGAAGATCAGATCCTTGATGACGACGTCACATGCTTCTTTTTTACATACTCGGGCACGCGCACGCGCACGTTTATGTTCTTCATTCGGACAAACAGGGATGACAGCAAAGTGGATGCGTTTTCTGTGACGAATGAAACGAATATCTGAAATCTCTCTGGCCTTGTATTCACATGTCAGTATGGCGTCGCCTCCCTTTCTTCCTCTCACAGGTATAGTGGAGGTTCCTGCAAATACAGATTCATTCAATACAAAGTATCAATACTGAAAAATAAATGTGCTTATTCTCTGTAATCAGTGTCACCATAAAATATTCTAGTAGAGTTATTTTAGTGCTGTTCTTTTGCTCAAGACGTTTCACCACACATTCAAGTGGATTCAATGTTGTGATTCAATGGTGGAGCTTCTCCAAAATTTAGCATCAGGAATGAACGTAGTCTGTGCCAAAAGCCTCGTGGGCAGCGCGTCTACATGTAGCGCCGTTGTGCTTCGGGCGTCCCGTGTTCGAGTCCCAGGACCTTTCCCTGTCCCGTCCCCCCTCTCTCTCCAACTTCGTTTCCTGTCTAACTACCATCCTATCAAATAAAAAAAGGCAAAAATGTCAAAAATAAATCTTAAAAAAAAAAAAAGAATGTAAAGATTTAGGTTGTAGGTTCAAGCTATTGCCCATGAAATTGAAACAAAACACAAAAACATTAAAGTATGAGAATGTGTTTAAATCCTAGCTTATTATTTTCAATTTCTTTAGCGTTCAGAACTGTTCATCTTATGAGACAGTTTTGTGTTGTATTGGTCTTTCAGAGTTCACAGACAAACCTCATTCATGACAGTAGACCCTGACCAAACAATGTTTAATAATTAATGAACCGGAATGAACTGCATGGATAAGTCAGTGATGTCATGATGTGCAATGATGACGTAATATGCTGGGGAATTTCCACCATCAATCCACAAACGTCAACAAGAGAACTTCACTTAGGGGTGCAACTGAAAAAAAACAATGGACTAGAATAACTCTAGCTGGAACTGACAAATCGAAACAATTGACATTTTATAAACAAAAATTACACTCTAAAAAATGCTGGGTTAAATACAACCCAGTGCTGGGTAAAATAGGGACAAACCCAGCAATTGGGTTGTTTTGACCCAGCGGTTGGGTTACTACCCAGAAGGTTGGGTTAAACATTTAACACAACCGCTGGGTCAAAACAACCCAATTGCTGGGTTTGTCCCTATTTTACCCAGCACTGGGTTGTATTTAACCCAGCATTTTTTAGAGTGTACACTGACCGCTATTATAGATGATGCAAAACAGCAGCAGAAGCAGAAGATTCGACCTGATGAGAATACAGACAGCACATAACAAACATATAACAAAGACATTTATACACAAATAAAACGCCTGGCTGAATGATAAAATGCTATACAACTGAGCACAATACAGTCGAAGCCTTCCGTTTTAACTTTAAGATTTAACACATGTGGATCTTAAATGTCCGATAAGAAACATCAAACTAATCTCAATCTTTGGTTTAAGAAATGATACGATCAGTGAAACCCAAGACACGAACAACAAGTGTTGGAAATTCAGTAACGTGCCACAAAACAATCTTATCGTCAACAATTTAATAATTACAATAACCGCACGAGTGAAAATCATAACCACTGTTATCATCGTAATCATAATGCTTTAGTTTCCCACGAACATAAACACAACAATTGATATAATAACACAAAGCCATGCATTTTAAAACAAGAATACTTACATTGTAAAGGTTCTGTATGGCTCGTTTGTTCTGGCGTCAAAACTGCGCGCACATCGCACGCTTAGCGAGATTTCAAACGAAACTGAAAGCAGCACAGGTGAGCTCGGAGACTGGGAATATCTGGTGTTTCCCACTGGAGCAGTATATGATTGGTAATTATTGCCCTCTACTGGTTGTTATTTTAAAGTAGATCAGAATGAATGCGCTCTATAGCCAAGTATGCTTGCTAGAAATTTGTCTTGGTGACAGAAGCTTCCAGTGCACAGAATGACAGCGCCAAGAATAAAATAAGTATTTTTTTTTTTAAGTGAAACTATATGCAAAAACACACAATATACAAAAAATAGACAATATATGCATGTATAATATATGTACAATATGTTATATACAACTGCAAAAGAATGTGAATAATGTGCATGCCAAATAAACACAAGATTAAGTAGTGCTGTGTATTGCACGTTTATACATATGTCTAAAAAAGTGCAATACACAACACTGTTCTGGTGCTCAGTGCTGTAGTGCTGATCTGTGTTAGTCACTGGAAGGGGAGAGTTGTGGTCACACAGTATTGATTAACGGATTTGCAAGGAATCGGCAGACAGTGGGTGAAGCCACTTCTCCCCCTCACACCTCAAAGGAAATACAGACTCTGCGGGGCTTTTTTCATAATGGAGTTAATGTGAGTGTCCCATTACAGGTGCTGAGGGATGGTGGTGCCGGAATCTGAATGACTCCACAGCAGCCGCAGTGCTGTTCATGAGGGAGGGGATCAAATCCATCCGGATAGAATAGAATGTTTGGGATTGCTGTATTATTTTCCACAATGCTTTTTGAGTACAGTAACTATTTTCTTGTGGCACGCAGGTTCTCTGACTGTCTGCTCCACTTCCATCACGTATATAGACCTTTCTAAAAATGAAGTCAATATCCACCTTTTTCTTCCCGTAAAAATGGGCGCTTTGTAAATTCTATGGGTCTATGTAATTCTATTTTTAGCTGTACAGAACCGCTCGTTTTGCTGCTTGATATTGAAAATGGGTATGTCTTACCATATTATTTGAATGTGTTGTCTTAATTACGAACACACTGGTTTATAATGCAAACAGTTTTATCGTTGCCTGCACGTTGTTATTCTTCTCGTTATTTCCCTATAGCAGCTAATCGACTAGAAGGCTTGGATAGAAGCAGCTTTATACTGTTAGATGTGAAAAACAGTGTTGCTTTAATTTAATTACTAGGCACCAATGCAGACACTAAACGACACAGTGTTTCCACTTAGCAAAATAAAGCACTGAATAATAGTCTCTATGTATAAGATCAAGTGGTGCATTTACAATTTGATTTATTGTATTCAAACACTGTGTGCAAAAATGTATTAACTGTCCTCATGATTTGCCAGTGTAGTTTTTAACACTGGATGTGGTCTATTAGCTTAGACACTTGGTCAACAAAACGATTTGTGAGTCCATGATCATAAATATTCCAGGTTCAAGCTCAATGACTTTTGAAAAATTAATCATTTTCACCATATTACATAAAAAAATATAGCAATGTATGTACATATAGCAATGGAAAATAAAATGTATAACAATGTACAAACACAAATCATGTCTTTTCCTGTTTTATGTCATAACATGAGACTATATACCTTTACACAGATCACTTTCAGAAATCTCTCATACAAAATGTATTTGCTGAAACTGAGCTGCAAAAACAATAGCTGATCTCATAAACCAGGATACATTAACATACAGCCACATTAACAATCAGAAACGTCACATTCACAGTCAGGTAATCAGGAGGACTAATAAGAAGATGGGAAAGTCCATCAAACTTCATGTGCACAATGCTTAGAGCGGCTGAAGTTTATTTTGAACAAGATCTGATAATTTCAGCCTGATCTCAGCAGTCTGAGCAGCAGATTTCAGCTCTGATTGTGTCTGAATCTGTCATGAAGTTTCACAGAGACAGTTTAGTTTGAAAGTAAATGTAATCTTTTGAAACATCGCCTTCAAATTTCATTGAATATGTTATTTGGAAAAACTATTTTTCTGAACATATAGTAC